GCCCAGGATAGGAGCCTAGGATAGGGGCTCAGGATAGGGGCCCAGGATAGGAGCCCATTTTTCCCCCTTTGGTTTTGGAACAGGGTCTCAAGTAGTTCAGACTGGCCTTGAACTTATTATGTAGGCAGGATGGCCCCCAACTCATAGCGACTCCTACCCAGCTTGTCCATGCTGAGATTATAGGCGTGCACCACCACCAGTTTATGTGCGTGCCCATGCCCGGCCTACGGTGAATTTAAAGTCAGCCTGAACTAATGTAGCAAGGTTCTATCTCAAAAAAATCAAACAAAAAAAGACTAAACAGATATCCACCACAGACCACCTTTTGATCTGTAAATGAGACCGCCACCCAAGCCCGGATTATCTTCTTGGGTCATGGAGAGAGCTCATGGGACTAGGCACCTGCTTTGGCAAGCGCAGGGACCGGGGTTCGAACCCTGGCCCCATATGCTGCACTGGCCCTGCTCCGGGGGCGTGCTGAGGTGTCAGTCAACCCAGTCTGGGCGTGGAGATGAGTGCCTGGAATCCCAGCGCTGGGAAGGCTGAAAACAGGAAGCTCACTACAAGTCTGAGCTGCGTAGTGAGACCCTCTACCAAATACATAAAATGAAAGAAAAAAAGGAGAGAGGTTATCATGTTGTCAGGGGGCCATCCCTCCACCCACCCACCAGACCTAAGTTATCAAATTCCACCAATTTCCACTGCCAAAAACACACAAATAGTCCCAGCTCCACCCTCCAATGTTTCTCATTTCTCTGAGTACCTGCATCCACTTGAGTGCACCCTAAAATCTCTGCTTAATAGAGGATGGAATTCGAAGAATCCCTGGCTTGCATGCAACCATATCAGGCCGTGGAAACCTCAGCCCCCGGGCACATGCAGGGGCACTAGGTGGGGGGACTCTGGGGTGGGTCATTCCAGAGCTCAGGGCCCAAATCTGCCTCTTCCCAGCCACAGGCATCCCTCTAGGGGCCAAGGAGCACAAAGCCTGCCCAGAGCCACAGGGCACACGGCCTGGACAAAGCCTCCCTCCTGGCCACCAGGACACCCAAGGGCCTCCCCAGGGACAAGGGGACAGCAGCAGGTGTGGGACACAGCATTTCTTGCTGGCTACAGCAAGGGAGAACATGCAGGCCACGGGGACCCACAGGATGCTCAGGTAAGGCACCTTTAGGAAAAATCTATTAGAGGAGGATTTTTTTTTTTTTTTTAAGACAGGGTTTTGCCCTGCAGTTCTGGCTGGCCTTGAACTCACTTTGCAGCCCAGGCTTTTTCAAAGGAAGAAAATTAGGACTGGGACAAATCTACGCTCAATCAGCCCTGCATCCCCCTAGCTGTGGCTACTCAGTCATAACACTTTGTCAGGCGGTGCGGCCTATTCTCAGGGCTAGTTAGCCAGGTGCAGTGGCAGCCCGAGGCTGAGGCAGCGGGACCCTGATTCAAGTCCAGCCTGGGGGCATACCCCCTGCTGCTTGAGGGAAGAAGGTGGAGACACCTGCAAGCCTCAACAGCCCTTTGGGACTCTGCCTCTGGGGGCCAACGAAGGGTTGGGCTGGGATCTGAGCTGGGTCCTGCAGCCCCGCAGGAACAAGTCAGATGCCACTGTGTCACTTCCAGGTCAGAGGTAGGACCTGGAGTGACTGAGCTGCCTCAACTGTCTCTGGGTGCCAGCACATGGGACAAGTGGGGAACTGACACCACACCTGCTCAGTGACCTCAGCACGGTGACCATGGACAGCGCTTGCTTTTCCTCCCCCTCAGGCCCTGCCAAGTCTGTGAGGGCAAATTCCTTCTCCATACCCCAGAACACATCCCCAGGGGCAGCCTGGGGCTCCTCCACTGTGAGCACAGACCTGGCATGAGAGTCCACCCTCAACTGAAAATGCAAGTAGCACCCACCTTCCCCTGCCCCCAACCTTCCCAAGTGGTGCCAGAAACAGAAACCTGCAGGCCCTCCCATGCTCCCCAGGCAGAGGTCCCCTGTGACCTCAGGATCATGTGCCCTAAGCTTTCTCCACGCTGAAAAGGCTCCAGGCCTGGGCACAGCCAGCTGTCCCTGTGCTCCCAGTGTGGCCAGGAGACCACAGGCTAGTTCAAAGTTCAACTGAGTCAGCTGCAGCCAGAAATAAGAAATAACTAACTCAGAGGCCCGGGCACACTCTGCTGCTGCTGTTGATGGGCCATCCTGACTTAACGTGAGCACCCTTGCTTGAAAGGGAGATGAGGGGCCGGGGAGATGGCTCAGTGGAATAAGTGCTTCGCTGGCAAGCACAAGGGCCTGAGTTCAATCCCCGGTTCTGAAAAAAAATTAAAAAATTAAAAAATAAAAAAAGGGAGATGAGTCATGTGCCTAGGGCCTCTATCTAGGGCGACCTGCAGGCAGGACTATCTCCCTTTAACCATTTAATCATTCACACATTTACCCACATGGCCACAAGCGGAGATCATGCTATCTGCCCAGTACCAGCCCACCCAATTGTTTTTTGGGATTTTTTTGGTTTGTTTTGCATAGCCAGGGATTGAACTCAGGCCCCTGCTCACTGAGCTATCTCCCCAGCCACCCCCCACCCCCCAGTTTTTACTTATTTCCTGAGCACCCATGTGGTGCTGGGCTCCAGGAGCACGCAGGCATCTCTCGGTTCTCCATGAGGAGGCATGAGGAAAGTTGAGGATTGAACTAGACAGGCGCTTTCACCACGAAGCTATCTCCCCAGCCCAAGGAAGGGTTGAGATCTGTATCCCTAACAATCTGGGGTGTCTCCTTCTCTTTCTCCAGGGCACCCCACAGCCACAGCCCAGGACCTAGACCCATGCCTGCTCCTTGCAGGTACTGAGGTTGAAGCTGTGAAGGTATAGCTTCCTCAGTTTTCCTCTGGTCAAACACAGTGGGCCAGCCCAGAAAACCTCAGAAAGCCAGAGAGGAAAGGCTGAGGGGAGGCCCTGGGCTCCCAGACACCCCTAGAACTCCACGCTGTCCAAGGCACCTGCTCAAAGGTGTCACAAACTTCCACCTATGGGGCCAAGGAGATGGCTCAGTAG